CCTTCCTTCCTTCCTTCCTTCCTTCCTTCCTTCCTTCCTTCCTTCCTCCCTCCCTTTCCTTCCTTCTTTCCTTCCTCCCTCCCTCCCTCATGTCTCCTTCCTTCCTTCTTTCCTCCCTCCCTCTCTCCACTGCCTCCCTCCTCCCTTTCTCATGTCTCTCTCCTTCCTTCCTTCCTTCCTTCCTTGCTTGCTTCCTTCCTTCCTTCCTCCCTCATGTCTCCTTCCTTCCTTTCCTCCCTCCCTCCCTCCCCTCCCTCCCTCCCCCCTTTCTCCCGTCTCCTTCCTTCCTTCCTCCCTCCCTCCCTCCCTCCCTTCCTTCCTTCCCTCCCTCCCTCCCTCCCTCCCTGACTCGAGGTTTTCAAGAGGAGCCTGGACAACCATTGGTCTGATATGGGGGATAGGATCTCCTCCTTGAGCAAGGGGGTTGGACTAGATGGCCTCCAAGGTCCCTCCCAACCCCACTTTTCTGTTAAAGCTGGACTCCCGTGACCGAGAATCGTCCCAGAGGATTTTTCTCCAAACTCACCTCCATCCCAGGGGAAATAAAGGCTCAAAATAGACGTGCAAAAGTTGCAAAGGTTCGGGAGCGAGTTCAGGTGCTGCTGGAATTTCCCGTTGGGAAGTTTGGCGTTAAAGAGGCCGGCCAAAAGACTGAAGACGAAGGCGTCCAGGGAGGCAGGCCTGAAAAACGAGAAGACGGAACAATCCAGAGACTCAGCCACAGCATGTCATAGGCGGTCCTTGACTTACAACCACAACCGAGCCCACAATTTATGTTGCTAAGCGAGACCATCTTTTTTTTAAAGTTGTTAAGCGAATCAATGCAGTTCTTAAGTGAGTTAACACGATTGTTAAGTGACTCCGGCTTCCTCATTGACCTGGCTTGTCAGAAGCGGGAAATCACACGACTCGTCACACACTCCCCCCCCCCGCCCGGGACTCTGCGGCCATCATAAATACGAGTCAGCGGTCTCGATTTTGATCCCGTGACTGTGGAGATGCTGTAACGGCCTTCAAGTTCATCATCATCTTCTTTGAATGACCCCATAATCCCTTGTGGGTGGAGTCTGGGCAACTAAAATGGAGCTGAGTATTTTTTACTGGCCCGTTGCCTTTCCTGTTGCCAGTGAGGAGTTACGTTCGGCAGATAATATTCTCATTGTGCCCGGAGAGAGAGAAATATCCGCCGCTACCTAGGATCGAATTCACAGCCCGCTGATGGTGAGGCGAGAACGCCCCCTCTAGGCCACCGCGCCACTCGGATGCCGAAAAAAGGACCCCTGTCGCTTTCAGTGACGTACCTTCAAACCGTCACTAAGCGAATGGGGATTACCCACGTTTAGGGTGCTTGCTGTGTCCCGTAGTCACAGGATCATGGGATTAGCAACCTTCCCCAGGGTGGGGGTGTTGCAACAAACAATATCAGGCCACACGATTCGCTTAATGACTGCCCCCCCCCCACAAAACCCTCATAAAATCATGTGCGGCTCATTGAACGACCGCCAAGTCCCAACCCCGTTTTTGGTCGTAAATCGAGGACGACCTGAAACAGGTCATTTACTCGGGACCCTCAACTCCCAAGTTACTTACGAGTCTCCGAAGAAGAATTTTTTCCTCCCGAGGCGTTGCGACAGAAGGGTGAGACACTCACAACCGTCTCGATAAAGCTGCGGGTGTCCAAAACAACAACAATCACCGTTGGGTCATGCGTTTGGACTACAGCTCCCATCATCCCCAGCCAGACTGGCATTCCCAGGCCTCTCGAGCTGGACTGCTGCCCCCTGGTGGTCGCAGTCTAGAAAACACCAGCTGGAGACAACCTGACTCACCTGAACTTTATTCTACTTTATTTTAAATATTTTAACATTCTATTAAATAAATTCAACATTTACGTAAAACATTCGCAGTGTTTACATCCGAGCCACGCCCAGTCCCATGACCCTGAAGCCACACCCACAAATTAGGCCCCGCCCACAGAGCCCCAGAACCGCAAATTTCCTGTTAAGAAATTCGAACCCCACCCCTGTCCTTCCTTCACCTGTTTTTCCAACCGCTCTTCATCGTCCTGCCAGGTTTCCCCGCAGATCGTCTGCAAACGCTCCAGCTGCCGTTTCTGCATTCGGCTCGGCAGGAAGAAATTAAGCGGGAACGGAATGGCTTCCGCGTACCACTTCCGCGTGTGCTCCACGTAATTCTTCGCGTCCACCCAGAAAGTGTGGATCTGTCGGGAAAGGAGGAGAATCCCAACGGTGAACTTACCCCCCAAAAACCTCGGTTAGAGGAGGAAAAAGGAGAAAAATAAAAATAAAAAAGTAAAAAAAATGCCAAGGAGCAAGGTTTCTAGTCCACATGAGGGGAAAAAAAATTTTTTTTTTTATAGATGTATATCAATAGAATGATTTTACACACTTCCCCCCCCCCCAAAAAAATTGGTGAGGTTAGTAGATGCAGTACAACAATTGTATACATTTTATTAAATTTTCCCCTTTAAAAAACAAATTCTACATGCATTTTTGCAGCTATTTGTGACATAGTTATACTGTTCTCCTGTACATACATATACACACACTATTTACAATTACTCTTTAAAGCTTCTACTTTTGCGTTATATTTTCTTTCGATTGTCTAACCAGACATTCCCAGGCCACGTAGTATTCTATTTCTTTCCTCTCCTGCAATTCCACTGTGAATTCGTTCATTTCTGCGCACTCCATTATTTTTCTTTTATAATCATGTCATCTGTGGGTGTACTATCGAATTTTCCAATTTTGAGCATATAGCCTCCTAGCCGCTGTTAAAATGTGTATCATTAAACATTCTCTTTTGTATATGCAACAGAATGATTTTACACGCCTTCCCGCCCCCACAAAAAAAAGCAACTGGTGTCAACTCATGAAATATTTGGATTAGTATTGCAACTCTTAATGGACTTTTTGACAACGGATTCATATTTATGTCCTGGGGTCACACGTCTCCCCAGATTTCTTCTCTGCGTTCCCCCCCCCCCACAAAAAAAACTCACCAACATGGGCAGGAGCTTCCTATTTATCAGAGAAAGGAAGGCTAGTGTGTCCGCTCCTTGCAACGCCGAGAGGTCGTAATCTGCATTAAATTGCTAAATGAGAATAAGAAAATAAAAATAATAAAGAATAGACAAGAATAATAGAATACAATAGAATTCTAGGAATAAGAATAAGAATAGAACAGAATAGTAGAATAATAATAAAGAGAATAGAATATAGAATAAAAATGAATAAGAATAGAACGCTAGTGGAATAATAATGAATAGAATAGGGTAGAATTCTAAGTATAAAAATAGAAGCGAACAGAATAGAATATAGAATAAGAACAAATATGAATAGAATAAAATAGAATAGTAGAATAATAAAAATAGAACAGAATAATAACAATAAAGGATAGAATAAGAATGAATTAGAATAGAATAATAAAATATAGAATAGAATAATAATAATAAAGGATAGAATAGAATAAGAATGAATTAGAATAGAATAGTAGAATAATAAAAAATAGAACAGAATAATAACAAT